CTCACCTCAGCCTCCCAAAGGCGTGGGATTACAGGCTGAGCCACCGAGCCCGGCTAGTCAAATACTTAATGCATGAAAAAATATCAAAATAAAACATTTAGTGAATAAAGCAGGATGCAACATTGTAAAAATAATATAATTCTATTGTTGTAAAAACAGTATTTGTATCTATTATATGCATAAATACAGACAAGTGTTCACATGAGTGCAAAATATATATATAAAGATTAGTGATCCGAGGTTGGGCACAGTGGTTCACACCTATAATCCCAGCACTTTGGGAGGCCGAGATGAGGATTGCCTGAGCCCACGGGTTAGAAAACAGCCTGGGCAACTTGGCGAGACCTCATCTCTACAACAAATAAAAAAATCTGCCAGGCATGGTGGCATGTGCCTGTAATTCCAGTTACTTGGAAGGTCGAGGCGGAAGGATTGCCTGAGCCCAGCAGGTCGAGGCTGAGGTGGCCGTGAGCATGCCACTGTACTCCAGCCTGGGCAACAGAGTGAGACTCCAACTAAAAAAAAAGGGAAGCCGGGCTCGGTGGCTCAACCTGTAATCCCATGCCTTTGGGAGGCTGAGGTGAGTGGATTGCCCTGAGCCTGAGGGTTCGAGACCCGCCTGGGCAGGTGAGACCTTATCCTTACAACAAGTCAAAAAAAATTAGCCAGGTGTGGTAGCGTGCGCCTATAGTTCCAGCTACTTGGAAGGCTGAGGCAGAAGGATCGCCGGAGCCCAGCAGGTCAAGGCTGCGGTGGCCAGGAGCGGCCACTGTACTCCAGTCTGGGCAACAGTGAGACTCCAACTCAAAAAAAAAAATTTTTTTTTAATTAAATAAAATTTAAAAAGGGCAACCCCTTTAGGTCCCCTCCCACTGTGGGAGCTTTTCTGCCCTCTCAATAAATCCTGTTTTCTCAAAAAATAAATAAATAAATAAAGATTAGGATTAGTGATCAGGCACAGTAGTTCATGCCTATAATCCCAGCAGCACTTTGGCCAGGAGTTTCAGATCAGCCTGGGCAACATAACGAGACCTCATTGCTACAAAAAAATTAATTAATTAATTAAAATTAAAATTAGAAGGCTATGGTGGCAGGCACCTGTAGTCCTAGCCACTGTGGAGGCAAAGTCAGGATGATCACTTGAGCCTAGAAGTTCGAGGCTGCAGTGTGTCTACAGCCTGGTAATAGACCCTGTCTCTTTAAAACAAAGGGGGGGGTGCACAGTAGCTCATGCCTATAATCCCAGCACTCTGGGAGGCTAAGGCAGGAGGAGGAGGATTGCTTGAGCCTAGGAGTTTGAGATCAACCTAGGCAATATAGCGATACCTCATCTCTACAAAAACTCAAAAAATTAGTCAGGTGTGGTGGTGCACGCCTGCAGTCCCAGATACTCGAGAGGCTGAGGCAGAAGGATCACCTGAGCCCAGGAGGTCAAGGCTGTGGTGAGCTGCACTTTGGGTGACAGAGTGGGATCCCAACTCAAAAAATAATAAAAAAGATTGGAAGAAAACAAACCCAAATATAAATAGTGGTTATCTGTGGATAGTATCATTACAAGTGATTATTATATTTTTCTTATTTATCCTTCTATTTCATCCATTGTCAACATAATAAATACAAACCAGTTTTATAATTTAAAAAATTAAAATTATGGCAAAAGTGATTAGAGTATGGACAGCCTAGCCCTGTAGAACGTTTACATTTTTAGGATAAAGGTAAGAAAGGAGCCAATGAATGCAGCCAAGGAAAAGAAGACTCCTTCAGAAAAGTGAGAGTAACTGGGCAGGTTGCAAACGATCTGAATGAACTCAACAATGGTAACTGCAGGGGGAGTCCAGGAGAAGTAGGACTGAGGAAGAGCCACCAGCTTGTCAGTTAGGAAGTCACTGTTGACGTTCCAAAAAAGCTTGTTTCACACACCCTTCTTTCCTCCTTTTCACCTCTCCTCTTTTCCCATCTCCCTTACTCATCTCCATTTAGAAAAGCAGCACATGTGGTGGTGGTCCAGGTTTTCAATCCTCGCCCTACCATTCACAAGTTGTGTGATCTTAAGCTAGTTTCTTACCTCTCTGAGTCTCAGTTTCCTCATCTATAAAATGGGAGTGATATTAGTATCTGCTTTATAGAGTTGTTACAATAATTCAGTAGACTATGGCCGGGCTAATTCAGTGGACTATGGTGTGGCTCACGCCTATAATCCCAACACTTCAGGAGGCCAAGGTGAAAGGATTGCCTGAGCCCAGGAGTTTGAGACCAGTCTGGGCAACAGGGTGAGATTTCCTCTCTACAATACATCAAAAAATTAGCTGGGCATGGTGGCACACACCTGTGGTTTCAGCTATTTAGAAGGCTGAGGCAGAAGAATTGCCTGAGTCTAGCAGGATGAGGCTGCAGTGACTATGAACGTGCAACTGCACTCCAGCCTGGGTGACAGACTGAGACTCAAAAGAAAAAAAGAATTCAGTGAATTAATATTCTAAGCATTTAGGATATTGCCTGACACACTGGAGGCACTTAATACATGTTGGCTAGTATTATTATTCAATTTATTCCTTTAAGATTTCCTCTCTCCTTCCTCTTTGGCTGTCTATCCTAGCAGGTACTAGCACAACTACAGGCATTGCTTAGAGACTCACTTAAGACAATTCACTTAAATACAAGCTCTAAAGCCACTGATCTTCATACCTCTGTCTCTAAACCACAAAGTATCCCAGCAAAGGTTGCCTGTCATTAGTCTTCATTATCACTCCTAAACCACAGGGCACCTATGGGAAAAATCCATACTTTTCCACTCTTCTAACCACATATTTCTGTGTTTTTCTGCTCAGTCCCTACTATATCCCCAGTGTTAAAGAGTCCAACACACAGTAAGGTCCCAAAAAAATATTTGTTCAATGAACAGATGAAATTCTTCCTCCTCTATTACTCTGACAGATGTTGGTAGGATACCAGAAAAAACAAGTTCAAATCCCTAGCTTTTCTATTTACAGGTTATAGGAACTATGAGCTCATCCTCTCTGAAACCTCAGTTTCCTCACCTATAAACTTCAGTCAAATGTCTGAAGCCACTTTACCAAACTGCTGTGGGGATCAAATCAAACAAAAGATTACATTAAAACCCACTGAAAATAATATTTTACAGATGCTAGGTATTATTATTCTGATATATCATATCTGTATCAATAATCAATCTACATGCAGTGACATATGACTGCAATCCCAGCTACTTGAGAGGCTGAAGTGGGAGGACCACTGAGCACTGTAATTCAAGACCAGCCTGAGTAACACAGAGAGACCCCCATCTCAAAAAAGAAAAGAAGCCGGGTTCGGTGGCTTGGCCTGTAATCCCGCGCCTTTTGGAGGCTGAGGTGAGTGGATTGCCTGAGCCCACGGGTTC